CAGAGAGAGGCAGAGAGAGGCAGAGAGAGGCAGAGAGAGGCAGAGAGGCAGAGAGAGGCAGAGAGAGGCAGAGAGAGGCAGAGAGAGGCAGAGAGAGGCAGAGAGAGGCAGAGAGACAGAGGCAGGCAGAGCTCTGAATTTGATGCCAGCCTGGTCTACAGAGTGAGTTTTTAAAATCAAGACAAAAAAACAAAACAAAATAAAATAAAAGTATTTATTTTGATTTATTTTTATATTTTAAGTATTATTATATTATTCTCATTAGTTTAGTAAGATCTGTCTTGGAACTTGCTACATAAACCAGACTGGCCTCAAACTCATAGAGACCCTCCTGCCTTTGTCTTTTGATCACTGGAATTAAAGGTATGCTCCATTCCCAGCTTATTTCGCTTTTAATTATGTGTATGTGTGTATAGGGCATGTATGTACATATGAGTATAGGTGCTCTCAGAGGTCAGAGGCATTAGATTCCCCTGGAGCTGGACTCATAGGCAGTTGTAACCTGAGCTAACATAGACACTGGCAACTGAGCTTGGCTCTTAACCACTGAGCCATCATCTCCAGCTGCTGTAATTATCTTTTTTTTCTTTTAAATGTGTATAAGTGCTTTGCCTGGTGAACCTTCTGGTTTTCCGTAGCCCACCCAACACCTCCCTGTTCCCTTTGTGTTTCTCCACAACAAGGTCTCATGTAAGCTAGGATGGCTTCAGACTCTCTCTATAGTCAAGGAGTCAAGGATGACCTTGAATACCACCTCCCCAGTACTGGGATTAGAGGCCTGCACCACCCTTCCCCCCACACACCCCCATTTTATAATGCTAGAGCTGAAACCCAGGCATTCCTGAATGCTAGGCAAGTACTCTACCAGTTGAGCTACATCTCCAGCCCCATGGTTTTTTGTTTGTTCGTACTCCAGAGAACCTCACTTCAAGAGACAGGAATTCTGTCTTCTACTCTTCCAGTATTTTCCTCCTGTCTAAAAAAGTGTCAGAACGTATGGAGGGCATCATGTTTTGTTTTGTTCTGTTTTGAGACAGGGTTTCTCTGTGTAGCCTTGGCTGTCCTAGAACTCACTCTGTTCTTGAACTCACAGAGACCCACCTGCCTCTTCTCTCCCCAAGTGCGGGGATCAAACACATGTGCTATTGTCCTCCAGTTCTGTTTTTGTTTTTGATGGTGCTATGGAGTGCTACGTTAGGCAAGTACCACTGAAGCATTCCTGGCTCCATGTTGAATGCTCAATGTCGAGTGTGAAATAGAGTGGATTAGGTCAGAGTAGAGCTAGAAGAGCCCAGAGGTGCAGGCTGTAGGCCCGGCGCCTTTTCCTGGTCAGCTTTCTCTAGCTCTGCTGTGGCCCAGGAGTAGTTTGGGAAGGTCTTGTGTGTGGAGGGTCTCAACTGTTCCATGGTCCTGCCTAGGAACCAGCCCATCATTTTACCCTTTCTATGCAGGGATGATGTCACAGCACAGAGGCCTCCCTAGATCAGGGAGAGGCACTGGCCAGAAACAGCTCAAATGGTCTAGCTGGAGAGAGACCTGGGCCTACCACTGCTTATTGTACAAGTGAGATAGATGTCAAGAGAGTTTCAAGGTCACCCAGTGAATTGGCAGCTTTCAGAACCTAGAACCTACTTTGTTTTGCTGGCAGTGAAGTTTCCTAAATTCAAAGTCATATTGCCCAGGGGCTTGGAGACTTTCTGGCTGAGCCCAGGCAAGATCTGGCCAGACTGATCAGGTCCAGGGCAGGGAGGAGGAGTGTGTGTGTTGGCTCACAGGGAGAAGGCTACAGAGTAGCATCCCTGTGGCCTAAGGACACTGACTCAGGCAGGCAATGACAAGGGAACAGGGTTCACTGTGACTCACCCCGATTTCTCTATCTGCCTCTCCAGGGTGAAACTCCCAGGAGGTTTCAGGGACACACGTCAAAGGCTCCTCCTATCCTGAGGCAAGGGGCTGGGCCCCAGAAGGGCAGAGCTCAACACACTCTTGCTGAGACAAGCAGACTTCATCTCAGCAAAGGGCAGGGCAGGTGCAGCTCAAGCCCTGTCCTGAGAAGAGTTTCCCTTTCCACCCCAGCTTGGGTTTCGGCCTGTTTGCTGATGCGGGGAGGTAGAACTGGACTGGGCTGGCCAGAGCATCTAGGATGGACAATAAAGGCGTGATGAAAATGATACTTGCTTTGTTTAATCCAGGCCAGCCAGTGTGCTCGGCATCGTCCACCCATTATTTCCTTTTCACAAGGAGGAGTGATTATTAGCCCCACCTTAGAGGGGAGAGGATGAGGCATGACGCTGGGCAGCCGTGTGCTCAAGGTCTCAACATTGTAGAGTGGCAGGGTGGGACGGGAACCTGGGCTGAAGGGGTCTATTCTTCCTGACAGGCTCCCCTGGAGAGATAAAGAGTGCCTTGTGTTTCTCTTCAGTAGCAAAAGTGCAGTTTTTCACTACTTCCAGGAAACCTGGGGGGTGTATTCTCCTAAAAGCCTTGTGCTTAAATGTCTTGACATTGATCTGCTACCTGTAGTCCCAGGATAGACTCTCATGGACAAATGAGTAAGGCCTTTGGGGAGGAAGTACCCTTTCTCAGGCTACAAGAATATTTATTTATTTATTTATTTATTTATTTATGAATGAGACGGAATCTGTGTAGCTCTGGCTGTCCTGGTACTCACTCTGTAGCCCAGGCTGCCTTGACCTCCTGAGTGCTAGGATTAAAAGGCATGTGCCACCACTGCCTGGCTTTTCCTTTTCCTTTTCCTTTTTTTTTTTTTTTATAAACATGCTTGGTGGCAAGGGACCATACCCACTGAGTCACCTCTCTGGCCTCCACTGAGCATTCTTTCTAGCCCAGGCAGCCCCTTGATCCTCTAGGCTCCTAACTTCTTCAGAGCAACCGAGCTTTTTGGGACTAAGTGGAGGTCTGAATGTATAAGGATGCCATAGGGGAACCAGGGAACTTGCTGGGGCAGACTGTTCCAATCTGTAGTGTCCCTCCCATGAACTGGAAGGGCTGGCTGTTCCAGAAGCTTTAGCACCTGGGCTGGGCATCATCCAGACCCTTAGTGTCCAAGTATGTGATATAGAGTGGAACAGGTGACCATGGTACTTGCTGAGTCAGGACTTGTGTTTACACAAATATAAACAGCCCTGCTGTTAGGCAACATGGACATGAGGCATGGGGCAGGTTGGCCTTCTGTCAGGATTTCTGCAATTGGTTGGCTCTATGTTAAACTAAGACCTCCCTTCGGGAAAATGGTTATGGGTTGACATCAGGGCTACTAGGACCCTGTCTTCAAGTTGGATGTTTGGTTGGAGATTTTTTCCCTTAGTCAGGGTTTCTCTGTGTAGCCCCAGCTGTCTGGAACTTGTTCTGTTGATTAGGCATGCCTTTGCCTCCCAAGTGCTGGGCTAAAGGCATACGCCACCACTGCTTGGTTGGTTTGAAAGTTTCTAGCTATGGTTCAGGCTTGGTTGGTGAGGGCTTGCCCACCTTGCCCCAGGTTTTCTTCCCTGGTCCTCAGTTCTATCGATTATCTGAGATGCCACACCTGTGAAGGCAGGCGCTTCACAAGGGGCCCGACACTACCCACTACTGATGGGCTGAGTAACAAGAGTCAGACAGGACTCAAAACCTCAGCTGGCTACTTACTAATTTTGTAAATGTAGAGAAGCAGCCTACCTTGAAAGCCACTTCTAAGCTCTAAAATGGATAAAACATGTTTCTCATTGGGCAGTCATGAGGATGAAATAATTTAATGACAACCTTCACAAACACCCAGTCCTGGTGCTCTAGGCAGCAGCAATGTGCACTAGGTTAGGGAAAAACAAAACATGTCCTCTGGTCCCTGGGACAAGGAGATGGCTGAGACCTCAAGGAAGTCAGGAAATGGCAGGCGGCTATTTTCCTTTTGAGCCCTTGCCTTACTTCTGCACACCATCTCACCTCTGGGGTGGCACTGACTGAGAACCCAAGCATTAAGCTGATGAAGAGAATCTGGTTTTAAAAGGTCCAAACTAAAGACGAAGTGCACACAGGAGAGATCCAAGCAGGGTAGGGGTCATCCTTTTATCCTCCCTTCAAGATATAGGTGGCTCCTAAGAAACCCTCCCAGCCCTGACAGCACAGCTCACACTGGGGGACCAGGGGTGGATGGGTGGGGTGGTGGCAGCAACGGCAGCTCTTGTTGTAAAGTGGAGAAGAACTGTGGTAGTGGGCACACCAAAGGGATATGAGGCCAACCGTGTCTACCCAGAGGTGAGTCACTGTGAGGGTGATAACAGTCTCCTGAGGCCCACAGAAGTGGCCATCTCAAAGGGACCCCAGAAACAAAACGAGTCAGGAGTAGGCAGAAGGCTATTATATATCATGCTTTTAATACAAACTTAAAAAAATCTGGAACAATATAAACTGTACAGATTTGATCAATCTTTGTTTTGAAACTAAATCTCTAAACACACCAATGTCTCATTCCAAAATATTGCACAACGTTCTGAATACAAAATGTCTTGATTGCGTTCTTCCTTCACTAGAGAAAAAAAGGTCGTTGCCCTGCTCCCGGGGCTCCTCTCTATGGCTGCCTCAGTGCCTACTCCCATCTCTAGGGGAGCTATCGAGACTACAGCATCAAGAAAGACTGACAGCTGACATTCTTGACAAGATGATCCACTTTTTGTTTGCTCCTGGGTGAGAGGGACAGAGAGGATGGGGAGAGGGGTGAAAACGGTTTTATGTTCCTATTTTTTAAAGTTTGTTTTTCCTGAAAAAATATTGGTTTCTCTCCTCTTTTTAAGAAAAAATCTTGAAAAGAAAAAAAATTTACGTTTCTTACATTAGAAATATACATATATTATATATACCTCTTACATTTTACAAATGTAGCAAATTATTCAATACAAACGGACACCAAAAAATGTAAAAAATAAAAAAAAAAGTTTTTCTACGAAACCAGGTAAATTAGTGCAGAGTTTTTTTTTTGTTTGTTTTTGTTTTTCCTTAAAAAAAATAAAATAGAAGCAAAAATGCCTAGATTTGCGATGAGACACTGAACTGGGCCCAAGAGCCCACTCTAGGAGTCATGCTCCTGAACACACACAAGAGCCCACTCCAGGAGTCATGTTCCTGAACACACATTTTTCTTCCTATTTCAAAAGACACAAGGAGCTGGGCTCCAGTCTCCCCATGTGTGAGAAAACAAGCTGGCTTGGGTGCAGGTGGTACCTGTGTTCCTGTGGGAGGAGGGGCTGGGAAGGGGGGTAAGGCAACATCCAACTTGTCCGGCAGAGGTCATTTACCTGGGACTGTCACCTGTGTGGGCACTGAGGATAAAGAACAGGAGGCCCAGAATGGGCAGGCTGGAGAAGACCAGGAGACTGATGGTGCTGGGCCGAGAACGCAGGGCCTTGCCCTGCGGGGGGAGGTAGAGCTAGAGCCCAAAACAAGGACACGGGGTTGGCAGTGTCTGTCTGGGCTGAGCTCACTGCCACAGCGGTTTCGCTCGGGAGTCCCTGGGAGAATGGAGTGAGATGGGGGTGCCAGGGGCTTCTCGTCTGCCCAGGAGACATCTCAGAGCATCAAGTGGTGCTAGGTGAGGGCAGACAAAGTATGTCGAGAGATGGGAACCAGGAAGTTCTCAGATGGGTGCAAATGTATTTACACCTACAACCAAAAAGCACAGTTTCGATTCAAGGCTCAGGACTGCCCACCACAGGCACTGACTCCACATCCTCTCCCTGTCCCTTCCCTGGGCTCAGGCCACACAGTGGAGCTGCTGAAGTCTAGGGACTCCTCTTAGGCATCAGGCTTGGGTATTCCTCCCGCCCAGCCCTTCAGAGTTGTTTTTTTGTTGTTGTTTTGTTTTTGGTTTTTTTTGTCAAAAACAAACAAAAGTGCAGACCCCCCTGCAATCTGGAAATCCAGCTCCTTATGCAGTGCTTTCCCCTGGGGTTCCTTAGGCTTAGCCACGTGTCACTCACACATATACGTCCTTACAAACGGACTGTCAAACCACCCTGGGTCCATCCCCCAATCGTGTACATAAATAAGCACTTGACACAACCGAGGATCACATCTACAGAGGGAAGATCCACGTGGCTGGGAATCCTTCAGAACACGACAGCAAGCCACACACTCACGAATGCATGAATGCACACACAAAAACACACACTTACCCCTACCTCTAGACTCTGCCCTAACCTAAGGGAAAGGCTGTGCTGGAGAAAGAGGCTGCATATAACTTTGCCAGGCCAAGAGCGGATGAGAGATGGGGCCACAGGACAGAGAAGGATTTCAATTAGAAAAAGTGCTAACCTCCCTATAGTCACAGATATTAGCTTTAGGGGAGGGTGTCAAGTGGCCAGTCAGCAGCTTCTTGTGGCCCAGCCTGAGAGGGAGTTGAGGCTAGGGCCAGACCTATTTGTGTGGCAGGGCCTGAGAAGACAGCTAAGGTGGGGGCAATGGACCCGGGGCCAGGCTCTCCCTGCTCCAGCTGCTGCTCTTCCTTCCTGGTGAGCCTGAACACACCAATACCAAAGGAGCATGAAGGAGGGCGTAGGGAGCAGCAGTTCACATCTGGACCGCCCTTAGCACAGGAAACCACTAATTGAAGATGTCATATAGAAAACTACAGGTAAAAAAAAAATTACAAAAATCCAAACCAACCAAATGAATTCAGAGGCAGGCAGGAATAGTCAGGGGCTGAGCTCAACACTCTATGCTTCGGGACCCCCTCCTACTCTGTGCCTGGGTGAATCCTTTTCCTAGCTGGGAGAATAAGACTGGAATCTTTTTGTATAGTTTTCTTTCCCTCTTTCGTTTGGACTTTTTCTTTGCTGTGGTTGTGGGTGCTCCTGGCCTAGCAGACAGGAAGATGGTCAGTTGGCCAGCACGACAGGCTGGAAGGGCTGGTTGGGATACTGCATGGTATTCAGGTTGTAGCTGAGGCCTTCTACAAAGGGTGTTTTCTCCAAGAACAGGCTGTTAGCACCACCTCCAAACACCTGGGACACATCAAAGCTGCTGTTGTTGCAAGTGCTGGCTCCACTACTCCCAAAGGGGGCCGCAGTGCTGGTGCTGGGGCCATCCACCCCATCGAAGAAGAGGCTGGGTGAGCCACCACCATTGTACACAAACTCCTTGGCACTGGGGGAGAGCTGGGACTGAGGGGCTGGGTTGGCTGTGATGAAGTTCAGTGAGTGCATAGACAAGGAGAGGCTCTTGTGCTTCAGCAGGCTATTTGTGGGTGAGCGGGCCATGCGAGGCTGCTGTGGTGGCGGCTGCTGGCCACCTGCCCCACTGCCACCCACACTCACACCGCTTGATGCCCCACCACCCTTCTTCATCTTGGTGGAACCAAATTTGGTGGCAGCAAAAGAGGCAGTAGTGAAGGTGATGGGCTGGGCAGATCGGGGGATGAAGGTGGGGCTGGGTGACTGGCCAAAGGATGGCGACGGAGAGCTGGACAGAGAGCTGTCCTGGCTGCCGATGGGCACAAACACCTGGGCGTCAGGATTGAAGCTGCTCTTGATCTCCTTGTCCAGCTCTGGGGCACCTGCCTCACTGTCACCCAGGTACAGGACCTTCACAGCTCCCTTCTCTCCAATCTGGTAGGATACCTCGAAAGGGTCGATCCAGACACTTAGCTCTTCGGGCACGTTGGCTCGCACATCCTCCACCGCCAGGCCACTCCGCTTGGCAGCCAGCTCGACCACAGGGTCTACCACTTCCCCAATGTGGACACAACGGAAGCCAGAACCCTTCAACGGCTTCTCGGGGTACCAGTGGCCCTCATATTTCTTTTTCAAAAGCCGTTCTAGCTCCTCCCCAAACAGGTCTGCCCTGCGCCGGGGCAGCTTGTTGTATAAATAGGAGATGATGAAGTTGAGTGCCACTTTGATCTCCAGCTGCATGATCCCCTTCTGGAAAGAACACGCACAGCACACGTGCCGAGAGCAGCAGCAGGGTAGGTGAGTGATCCTGGGATTCTGAGGCTTCTGGAAAGTGAGAAGGAAGGAGGAACACAGTGAATACTTATGTTGAAAGGCCCCAGTACACCCTGCCTGAGCTGTGCCACTGACAGAGCACAACAGACACCTGTTCCTGTCTTATTTTTTTGATGCTATACAGCTCTGGTTGGCCTACAACTCACTATGTGATAGTTCAAGGCTAGCCTTGAACTTGCTGTGATCTTACTTCCTGTTTCCGGAGTGCTGGGATTACAGGCATGCATGACAAGTCACTTTTTATAACCCCTGGTTTCCTCATCCGGAGCCTGAGGTTCAAGGATAACTCTCTCCCCCATACTCGGTACCTCGCATGCACTTAAGATAGGAGTGCACTGTACTTTATACCATTTTGACATGACAGTATGAGATGACATCAAATAATGAAGAGCTAACACCAGGCCCCCAGTCCAGCTGGAAGCAAGAAGGTTCTTGCTGTCTCTGCAATGTCTTCATCCAAGTTGTGCCCTGAAACTGTCACAGGCGAAGACAAAAGTTTCAAATTTTTTTTAGCTGCCCTTCTTAACTTGAACAAGATACAAGGTCACTGAACATGAAGGGACACTGCCAGCTTCTCTCTGGGGCTTGGACTCCAGTCACATCCACCTGTCACCCTGCACCCTATAGGTGCACATGCTTTGGGGCTTAGTCTGAGTTTACAGAACCAATTTAAGAACCCAGTAATGTGACCAGAGCTTGTATTTCCATCCAGCCTCCAGTAATGGGGACAAGGCCAGCATCCTTCAGAAAAAGATAAAATCTGTTATAACCACAGTCTGTCAGCCCACAGGAAACTGCTGGACTAGGGGCACCTAGGGAAAGTGCAAGAAGCAGGGCCTTGGCGGCCAGCAGGACGGTAAGAGGAGCAGCAGTGTGGCCTGAGGGAATCTCCACGGTTTCTGGCAAGGTTGAAAGTGATGAAGATGGCAAAGGGAAGAAATTTTCCATCACCCTACAGCTTCCAGCTGGGGACCCATCATCACCCGGTCTCCCAGGGACTGTCTGACCACCTGTCCTCGGCACCAGATCAGATTTATCAAGTGTTGGAGAGCCCCACAGAGGAGGTGGCCCAGCACAAACACTCAGGTTGTTATTTTGGGATTCTCTCAGAGCCAGATCCCACTGAGGTCAAAAAGCTTTACCCCCTGTGCCCGGGCAAGCCTCATGTTTCAGGAAGGATCTATGAGGGCCTGGAGTCAAGGATCCGAATCTCATTTTCCCCAAAACGACGGGTTCTGGACTCCAGCTCTGGGAGAAACTGAACTGAAAAGGCCCCTCTATTGAAGGCAGAGCCAGAGCATGTCTCTAGCTAGACCGTTAGGCAAAGCCACACTGTTGACCTCATCAGAGAAGGGGTTGAACAATGTTCCCACCAAGGGCATCTTCTGTCCTGTGTGAGACTCAGGGCTGGATTTTGATTAACGTTCTTTCTAGTTCCAAAATGGAGTCTCCAGGCACTAATGCTAGCTTTGAGAATCTTGAGTTTTATGAACACCTACTGTAACACATTTTCATGTTAGTTCTCAGGAAAGAAAAAGGGGCTTAGTTGACGAGAATCAGGGTCATCATCAGATACAAAGCTCAAAGCTATTTACTGACTACTATAGGCTTTCTCCTGTGTAGTAATGTGCGGAGTGGGGGCTGGTAGGTTTTTTGTTGCCTGGGCTGACTTTGAACTTCTAGGCTTGAGCTGGGCATGGTGATGAGCCTGCATACTCATCACTTGGGAGGTAGAAGCAGAAAAAACAGCTCAAGGCCAGCTAAACTAAACCAGGAACTCCTACGTTCAAGCAACTCACACCTTCTGCATTGACAGTTTAAGAACGGAGGTTCAGGGGCTGGAGAGATGGCTCAGAGGTTAAGAGCACTCTGGCTGCTCTTCAAAAGGTTCTGAGTTCAAGTCCCAGCAACCACATGGTGGCTCACAACCATCTGTAATGGGATCTGATGCCCTCTTCTAGCTGCAGGCATAACACTGTATATACAACAAATAAACCTTAAAACAAACAAACAAAACCAACCAACCAAACAAGCAAAAAAAACAAAGAAGGTTCAAGACTCTAGAGAAATGGCCTAGTAGTTAAGACTACTCATTGTTCTACTAGAGGGCCCAAGTTTGGCTCCCAACACTCATGCCAGACAGCTCTCAAGAGCATGGAACTCTAGCTGCAGGGGATCTGATGTCTCTGGCTTCCTCAGGCACCTGCCCTCACATACACATACCCATATGAAGATACACATAGCTATGCATAATTAGACATAATACGTTAATAAAAAAATGGAGGTTTGAAAGGACTATGGTGGTCCACCTTGTGGTCCACTAAAGGTGTCTAACTTAAGGAGACAAAAGGAGAAAGTTTGCATCAGGTCTCAGGAAAGGGCCTACGGCTAAAGGTGGTATTTTCAAAGAATTTTTGGAAAAGTAAAACAGATTCAGTGTCAACGTGATATTATCCTAAAGGCACTGAAGAGTCTCTTACAATGAACCTCTCACTGTACCCATAAGGACTTCTACACCTTTCTAGATGGCCTCAAATTTTGCTGTATGATTGTCCTCTAATTATCCCTGTACCCCTGAACAGTATAGCCTCAAAATGGGAACATTCTAAATGTAGGCCGAAGTCACTGGGAAATAAGCCTCTCACCCGAAAATACAATGGAAGCACTGTCATCAGCCTAGAGAGCCAGTATTTGCCATAAGCAACTGAGACTGAACATCACTTTATACCTCAGCGGTGCTGCTGCGCAAACAAGGGCAGGAAATGCCTCCTTCTCCTCTCTAACTCGAGAACAGGTTAGGCCAGATGGCTATGGTGTGGAGCCTCACAAAAAGGCCAGACGAGTAAAATGAGCTTCTCTGCTCGATCCGCTCAGACTCTAATTTTGACTTCCAGAAGCTTATGGAGTAGAGGATTAGAGTGCTCCTGCTGTCCTATCTTCAGCTAAAGATAGGAGCGACCATTTGGCCGAATTTGTTTTTTAGAAAGTGATGGGCAAATTATAGTCCTTATATATAAAATATTTATGGAAGTATGTTAAGATTAGAAAGCTTAGGAATAACTACCCTTCAAAAAAAGAACAAACAGATCTGTTAAGTAGCTGCAGTGGACTCAGATCTTTTTTTTTTTTTCAACAGAACACTAGAAAGGTAACCAAAAAGAAGAAGAAAAAGAAGAAGGAGAAGGAGAAGAAGGAGAAGAAGGAGAAGAAGGAGGCGAAGGAGACGAAGACGACGAAGAAGAAAGCAAACTGCTGAATAGGCCGGTGTGCACTCAGGAGGCAGAGGCACGTGAATCGTGAATTTCGGCCTGGTCTACATAGCAAATAACATGATAGCCAGGACTACATAGTGAGAAGCTGTCTCAAAAATAGAACGTGTTTAATAGTAAAATCTCATTTTGATAATATAGTAAAAAGTTGCAAAGTGAGCTAACCTGTGTGGTGCCTGTAATTCCAGCAGACAGGAGGCTGAGGCAGAGTCAAGTTCAGCCTGTGCTGTATACTGAGGCTTCTTCCTAAAGACCAATATATAGGAAACAAAATTCTCCCCTAATACATTTCTTTTACTTTAGCCATTGGTTATACCTTGACTCAAGATTCCTTGTGCTGATGTGTGTGTTAGTGCTTAAGAGAAAGAAACCTGGACAAGAAAGAAGCCAAGAAGCTACACAAAGACTTCATTGATGTTAATTCCAGAGAAATTAATGAAAATGCAAAGCAAGACTAAAGAAAAAAAAGCAATGTTGCTTAGAAAGGGTGAAGTAAAGGAATCTATACCTCCCCATAAAAAATTCAGGTATCTCAAATTCCCAATATCCTATAATCAATCGGTCTCCATGATTCAGGTAAATGTGTGGGAGTGGGAGCATTTTAACACGATCAAGAGAAGTACAGCCACAATGGACAGCGACAGTGTGGCTCAGGCTGCTTCCCAGGGATTAGTTCTTAGGTCTTATCCCGGAGACAGCGGCCCAACAGGCAATATAGATTGCAGGCCTTCCAGGATATTTGCAATGATAAGTACAATGGGCTTAGACCCTGATATTCCAGACCACCTGGACCAGATCACAAGAGTCCAGTACAGGGCAGGGCCCTTTAGGGATCTCAGGGGCCCCGGGCTCGCCTCCCTCAAGGCGGTACCACGCTCAGCACTCTGGGAGACGTAGTCCTCTGGCCTCCTGGCGAGGATAGAGACTCGTGACCTACTTTTCGAGCACACTACACTTCCCTGTTCACTACGCGAGGGCCCAGCCAGATAGACCGCGCATGCCCCGCTCTAGGTCCTGGCCAAGGGTCCGAAGCCCAGGAAAAGTTTCCGATGCACATGCGCGTTGCGGCGAGTGGGTGCCCCCCTCCCATCGCCAAAGACGTTTGGCATAAATCTGCCCATAAGGCCTCTCACCGGCTATCCTTTCTCCCCACGTCCTTGTCCAGGCTAGACTCCAATAACTCTCCTTTCCTTTCACGACCTCCTAAGCTTACTGAATCGGGGCTCTGCAACTAAGGGGCTTTTCCTAGATGAAGCAGGTGGGCTAGAATGGATAGAGCCACTGCTCCGGCCCCAGCTTCTGGATCTCAGTGGACTGTCGCTGTCTGTGGTAGATGTAAGAACAGTGTTCAAGGAGAAATGAACCCTTTACACCTAATACCTAGTAGGCTCGGCTCCAGCATCCCCACAGCCAGGAAGGGAATGGCAAGAATTAGACCCAATTCTCCAGTCCTGTTGGCCAAGCCAAAGAAATTCCTAGTAAAGGAGGCGCCCAGTCAACAATAAAGCCCGAAGCCAGTAGTACCCAAGCCTCACCCCACTTATTAGACAAGTCTGAGAAACCAGACCCAGGTAAAGGAAATGGGAAAAGGTTCCCAGGCAGGCAAGCAAAATCCGTACATCTGAAACCTGGACATCTTCTAATACTCAGAAATTCTGAGCCTCCTCCCACTGCAAGGCCTACCCTAGGACCAGACTTACCAGATCCTCGGCAACCCTCCCCTGCAGGGTGTTAAACCTCCCTAATCCTCCCTCCCACATCAGCTGTTTTCCCCAGTGCTTAAGTGAGGGATGGGGGTAGGCGCTCAGGCAAGCAACAGGATTTTTATTGTTGTCAGGAAATCAAAGAGAAACCAAACCCACTCCCAGGCCAGGGTGGATAGAAAGAAGTAGAAGGAAAAAAAAGGTTAGATACTGAACTGGCACCGGAAACCCTGTCTGCTGATTCCAAAGCCTGCTGTGTGAAGTTCTGGTTGCTCCCAGGGGAGGGGATGGCTTGTAGACTGTTCCTCTGTTCATTTTCCCTTTTCCCTCCTTAGATTTTGGTCAAGGGCGGAGTACAACCCCCTCGGACAGAAGGGGAAGTTTAGGAATAGGAGAGATCAAACACAATTAATACACATCGGACAGGCTCTTTGGGTACTTTTTCCCCACGCCTACACAAGTATATCAAGAGCTCAACCTGCATGGAGTTCTTGCTAGGCAACCCAAGGGCAGTCTCCACTAACCGGCCCTGTCATCAAAAAGGGGATGTCCAAATTTCCCATCTCACTGGTTCCGAACAGACTGTGTTAATAATCACCATCCCGCATACGTGAAAGGCAGCCGAAAAATAAGGATGGAATCCCCTTCCTCCCCCTAATTTATTTAACTCTGGCCAGAGTTTGGTTTCTTTGGGAGAACGAGGAAAACCTAGCGAGTGAAGCGTGAAGAAATGGGGAAGGAGGTCAAGGAGGAAACGCTCTCCGCTTAGGAGGGCCGCACTCGAAACTAGGTACCCTAAGATCAAAGAGTGATGGAGAGCAGCCCAGGGGCGGATCCGGAGAGAGGCAGCAGGGGAGTGGGCCAGTGTGGGCGTCCCCCGCCCGCAAGCCCGCGCACTCACTCGAGTCTCCGCAAAGGGTCGCTCTGCAGGCCGCGGGACGGAGGTCTCTCTCCTAGCTTCCCGGGCGCCGCGAGGCTGAGGGCCACGGTATCCTTTTACGTCGTTGAGGGTCGAGATGGACGAGGACCGAGCTCATGTGATTCTTTCCGCTGTTTTTGGAGGTCGAGCTCGGCGGCGACGGCGCGGGGATGGCGGACCCGAGGATGGCACCCGTCACGCGGTGGGTGGAGGCCAGCCCTGGATATGGTCGTCGGGCAGGTCCTGTCCTTCTGCCCACGGTTCCCACGACGCTCAGTCCCAACGACCTGCACCTTCCCGCGCCCGGGCCCGAAGTGAGCAAAGTCAATGAAAAGTTTCACCCTCAGCAACCCTGCGCATGAATCTGCTTTCCCCACCCCTGCGTGATGCGTCCCTCCGCCCAGCCGGGGCGGGGCCGGGACTACTTTTCCTCCCGTGGCATCTTTAACCCCTCGCAGCCCAGTGGCGGGTTGGGATTCCAGATTCTGTGGGAAGTGTAATAGCAATCTTCTCTCGTTGTCTCCTCTAGACCCCTCCCTGGCGCGTCCTCAGCGGGGCTGCTCACCCTCGGAATGCTTCTGAGCGTCTTAGCGCCCGATTTCTTCTCCTAAGGCTCCAAAGCAGTCTGAACTCTCCATGTACGCTTTTTTTTTTTTTAAACCGGTGTAGTCCAAGCTCGGGGAGGGTAGGGACCGGCTTGGGACACAGCAGGTCACTAAGAACTAGTCTGGGACACAGTGTCTGTCGCGTTTAGGAACTGGCATCACCGGGTCCCTGACAGCTCCAAATCCCAGCCCCAGTTCTCAAAGTTCCCTGAGACCTAGATGGCGTGACTCTCCAGTTCTGACGGTCCCCCTGACTTGCACTCCCCAGTTTTCGATTCATTCTGAATTTGGGGAGACGGTGGCACGACGCCACCTCCAGGAAGGTTCTGGATCTGAGTCTGGGCTAACCTGAGTTTACCAGCGTCTTCCTCCTGGTGAGGACGTGGAAAATCGAAGGGAAGGGAGGGGAGAGGTGCCTGAAGATGGAGGGTCAGTAAAAAGAGCGGAGCACTAGTTAATCATGCACGCCCAGCCCCGAAAGTTGGATGCCAAACGCCAGATAGAGGGCTGGCCACGCGCGGCCGAGGCCCCTCTGCTGTGGTCCTCGTGCTCTCTCGAGCTGGCTACCCACGCACGGAAGATCATGAGAGCCGCGCTCCTTCTAGCAATTGTCGCAGAAGAAGCGCCAGCCCTTGAGCAGGGTGAGCCCGACAGCACCGGGCGGCGAAGCGAGGCGCACCCGGGCCCGGCTGTTGGTTACGCTCTTTCCACTCTGGTTTTGTGACAGTGCAGGCTCAGAAATGAGGGGGGTCTAGGATCTTTGACGGGTTGAAATCTTAGGAGAACTGAACTGTCACACTAGGCTGGAGGACCGCTGGCCTTGTGCTCTGGTTCCCCCACCCCCACTCCGCCTTAGTTCGCCTAATTTCCAATTCTCCAACTCCTATTCTTTATTCATGTTCCTGAAGGTTCTGGTGCAACGGCAGCCTCCGAACCCACGTGGGGCGGTGAGATCGGAAAGTTTCCAGTTATGAACTGTGTGCATTTTATTTTCCTTGATCACGTAGTCAAGGGCAGAGATCCACGGAGGTATAGGGATTTAAATACGCTTTCCTAGACAGGCGGAGAGAAATGCCGGGCTGGAGGACAAACTCCGCGGTGCCAGGATGGTAGGAGGAAACCTAAGCGCGTGTGTCCCATCCCCCACACTCCGAGATGGACAGCCCGGGGGCTCCTCCTGGGACTACTTGTGCGTCAGCAAGCGTCATACATTCCCCTCTTCACTTCACCCTTCCCTTTTAGCACCCCTGTCCCCGAGAATGTTCCATCTAATGCTGTGAGACCGCCCACAAGGATGAAAGCTAAAAATACAACAGACCCGTTAGCAACAGCTCTCCCATTGGCCCTCAAGCAGAGAGAGGCGTCTGATTGGGTTTTGGATGCAGCTTCTGGTAAGCAAGCGTTTGTACCCTTTGGTATCACAAGGGATGCTGGTATTTGTAGTCTATCATTAGAGGCGGCCATAGAAATAGGTGGGTTTATATCCCCGTTCTGCCACCTACTGTGTGTTTTCCATTTAGTGCAACAAATATTCTTACGTTGACAAACACGTTTCTTCATTTCTAAAAACATGGAAATCTTGTGATTAAACAATATTTGTATGTAAATCCTGATTCAAATTGGTCCGTCTCCCTCCCTGAAAAATGCCTGAATCTGCAAAACACTTTATATTTTTCACCATGATAAATTAGCCAAATTGCAGCCTATAAATACTAGTTGGTTAGCATTTCCCAATGAGAAGTATTCCAAGACAGAATAATGAGAAAGGTTAGGATTAGCTAGAACGAATTGTCGAAGGGTATCTCAAGGATATGCTTATACAGATAAAAAATGCAGATACGTGTGGAAAACCGTGAGTCTCTGTGTATTTGTGCTTATATTTGAATCAGCCTTGGGCAGGTTAACACACAACAAAAACCCCTGAAAAAAATCATGTCTCCTTCATAAATGGGAGTTTCGAGTAAAGGTTGAGGATACAAACAGGAAAGGATAAAATAGAGAGGTAATCATCCTTCTTAATTACTGCTGCCTCAAGTTATGTGGTAAGGAGGAATTTTCCCCTCTTCCCCAATGTGTAATTTCATCTTGCCAGGGCATAATTGTAGACTGAATTACTACTCAAGCATTCCCGAGTCCCCTCCCATTTGAGTAAACGCGTCTTGTGAAAGGCAGACACCATGCTTTCACAAAGGCCAACTCTGGCTCCTGCAGACGGCAGGGTAGGAGCAACTTCCCCTCTGAGAGCAAAGCAAGTCATGCCAGATATTTTGGCGCTAGTGACAAGCAAAGCTGCTCATAATTGGCTCAATTAACCCAAGATGAGTCACAATTTCATACACACAGACAAGGTGAAAATTTACATTGTTTCTTTGAAGTTATTCAAGAAAACAGTTTCTTGGTTGGATTCTTCACATCTACTGCCTCCGATGGCAGACGGAAGGACAGCCATGACAAAATGTGAGTGTGGGAAAGAGATACCCTGAATCCATCCTGGTAAAAAAGAGAACAAGGCATTCTTTTGTTTTTCACTTTGTATTCATTACTTTGTGCATATGAATGCTTTGTTCAAATGCATGGATGTACACCATGTGTGCCTGTTGGATCTGGGATTATGATGGTTGTGAGCCATTTTGTAGGTGCTGGGAATCTAACCTAGGTCCTTTGCAAGAACAACAAGCACCCTTAACCACTGAGCCATCTCTCCACCCACCCCACCCACCCCCAAACCATTCTTTTCTTAAGACACCAAAAGGCAGTATTCAAATACTTTTAGCTCTTTTGGTGGCCACTTGGAGATTGGGTTAATAAGAAATCAAGTATCTGAGTATTGGAAATAATTTTTTTTTTGAGGGGCCAGGAAAATCACTTTAAGGCAAAGAATCTTTCACATTTATATCCTAGCCTGAAGCTACTATTAAAAAGCCACAGGTCAAAATACTAAGACATTGTCTGACGTTTAGCCAGTTCAATTTGATTCCCTGGCAATTTCCTTAATTTACAAGTTGCTCAGTAGGTTGTTGTTTGCAGCTTTTGCTACCCTGAATGAGGCAGTAGTATCCTACTCCTGTTGTCAAAACACTCAAAATGTAAAGGCAGGATCACAGATGTCGTCAGCCTGGTCTCATAGTGAATTCCATAACCTTTAGGGCTCATGGGAAACCCTGTCCCCCTAAACAGGTAAAAATATAGTCTGTGCATGTGTGAACAGCCCCCCACCCAAAGGGACCTACACTGAGAAAAAGTTGCTGGTAGGAAGGCCAAGGTCAACATCCAGTGAATGAATTTTGTGATATATTGATACATTGTACTATAGTTGTAAATTGATACATAACAATGTCTTCCTGTGTGTTTAAATATGCATACATAGGAGTGTATTTGTACACATTTTCTTTCTTTTCTTTTTTTTTTGCTTTTTGTTTTTTCGAGACAGGGTTTCTCTGTGTAGTCCTGGCTGTCCTGGAACTCACTCTGTAGACCAGGCTGGCCTCGAACTCAGAAATCTGCCTGCCTCTGCCTCCCAAGTGCTGGGATTAAAGGCGTGCGCCACCACCGCCTGGCCCAGTACACATTTCTAATTACAAATTGTGTGAACATTTCTTTGCTCACTTGTCCAGGTCCACATGTGATTAAGTTATTTCTCTGCCAGCGAAATGAGCCAATTCAAACCAGATTAGAGTATATAAAGGTAGGTTTTGGGAAGCAGCTCTCAGGTGGAGGGTTCATTAATCCCAAGGAAAAAGTCCAGGAAGTAGCCAGGGGATGGAGCCAGAGGGGAGGGAGAGGAGAGAGAAAGAGTGTGTGCACACAAATAGACTATGCCGAGAGGGGGGTGAGAATAGAGAAGGGTCAGGGGGAAGAGGCCAAAATGTCTGGATTATATAGGAAAGAGCCTCTGGGGGAGGGGAAGCTCAGCCCTTCGGCTGGATAGTTCAGGTTAGAGGGTAGGATATGCCAGGCAGGAACTGAAGGATATTGGGAGAACCTGGAGGCCAGGTCCACTTTAGTATATTAAATATGCACCTCAGCTGCTTGACCTAGGTATGGATCCCCGGTATGATAGGGTGATGTACTGGAGCCATCCTGTATATTTGTGTGTGTGTGTTTGATTTACTTATGGAGGCATCAGATTCCCTGGAAACTGAATTTACAGATGGTTGTCAGCCATTATGTAGGTGCTAGGAATTGAACCCTGATCTAAAAGAGTTACCAGCAGGTGCCCATGGAAGCCAGAAAAGGGAGTGGGGTCCCCTGGAACTAGCGTTACAGGAGGTTCCGAGCTGCTTGATTACATGTTAGGAAACGAGCCCAGACTTCTCCAGTAGTGTAAGTACTCTTAACCCAGAGGCCATTTCACTAGTTCCTAGTTTTTAATTTTATTTACTATTCTTTTTTTTTTTTTTCTAGATATGGTTTCTCTGTGTAGCCCTGGCTGTCCTGGTACTCGCTGTGTATACCAGACTGGCCTCAAACTTAGAGATGTGCCTGCCTTTGTCTCCCAAATGCTGGGATTAAAGATACTACACTTGGCAAGTGCTTTTTTCAAAAACGAAAGTGAATACCAAGAATTAAGTCTGCTATAATTGTAGTTATACACATGTGAGTGGTGTCTTATTCTCTTCACAGAATTTTATGTTTCTGGCTAAAATTAAACTTGTACAGAATGTTTTTTCAAGGGTGAATTTGCTAGTTTTTCTT